TGTTTCGTGAATTTTTCCTCCACTTAAACTGTCAGTCGAGCGGATAAAGAGGCATAAACGATTGATTTCCCTTGGGCGTACAATTCTTGGGAACAGCGACGAATTAAACGATCAACGCGTGACCATCCTCTTTCTTCCTTTGTTTCTCACCAAGGTCCTACCGAGGCAAACCTGTGGCCTTTTCACACACACGATCTTCATCGATAGATACCCAGGCGGCAGGGAGAAGCTGGACAAATCGATACAAGGTGGAGAATTGTTCCAGACTATCGTTCACAATCCTGTGAGTGATGCACGATATCCGTGTCAACTTTCACCGCTTGATCTTCGCTTGCTCTTTTCACGATACTTCTTTCAGATCAATATTTTTATGACGCACATGTCAAACTACGGGAACGATCGTCTGGCGTTGTACACGTTCGAGTCGGTGATTAAATTCATACAGTGTTGGACGAACTTGAGATTGTCCAGCGCGCCGCCACTTCAACTCGCGGAGAGATACTTCCAGCTCTATCCTGAAGAATCTGATCCTGTGTGGGGCGTAAGTTGTTGTTGGCTACACGATTACTAATCTGCTTGCGATCTGTTTGTACAAAGTATTGTATAACTTGTCGTTTGCATTAAAGAATCCCTGCGACGACCTGAGGCATCAAAAGATCTGGTCGAAGAATAAAACTTGCGATCAGCTGCCGAGATTCCTGGTAATTGGGCCTCAAAAAACTGGCACTACCGCTCTCTACACCTTCCTGTCCATTCATCCGGCGATAAGCAGCAATTTGCCGAGTCCCGACACGTTCGAAGAGATTCAATTCTTCAATGGAAAGAATTATTACAAGGGCCTCGATTGGTAAGTGAAACAAGAAAGAATACTTCAAGCACACTGTGTATATGTGTGTGAATCACGTTTCGTTTCCTCCGCAGGTATATGAGCTTCTTTCCAGCGTCGAAGAACGAGAGTTCACGTTATCTGTTCGAGAAATCGGCCACCTATTTCGACGGGGAATTGGTACCGCGCAGAGCTCACGCGCTACTACCGAGAGCAAAATTGATCACTATACTGCTCTCGCCAGCCAGGCGTGCCTACTCGTGGTACCAACACACGAGGGTCCACGGCGATCCTGTAGCAAATAATTATTCCTTTCACTCGGTTATCACCGCAAGCGATACCGCACCGAAACCCCTACGCGATCTCAGGAATAGGTAGGTTGCAAACATTCTGCAAGTACGCGAATAATTTTCCGTTTGTTACGAGCACAAGCACAAGCACAGGCACAGGCACAGGCACAGGCACGAGGTCGTCCTCGTTGTGCTTGCCTCGGCTAGAATAACGAGTCGTTGAAAGTTCCTGAATAGTTGAATGCAAATAATAACATTATCCTGCCGCGTAATAGCCATACAGAGTGTAGACGAGCGTAGGATCTAAATTGCTAATGCGGTTCGACCGTGTGTATGTGTGTGTGTGTGTGTGTGTGTGTGTGTGTGTGTGTGTGTGTG